TATTAGAAAAGATTACACCCAAAGTTCAAAGGATATGATGTGGCCTCACCGAGGTCTTTATGACTTGTCACAATAGAATGGGGCCGTCAGTTTGCTCCAACATTTCAGACATTTTCTCACAGCGGCTGTATGTAGAAGTTTCTGGAATGTTAATGGACTTTAGGATTGTTGGATGTGGGAGATGGGGAGTTTTTGTTTTCGTGTTCATGTTAGTGTGACAGCTGCCAAGTTGAAATGAACTTTGAAATAGTCTTGCTCTGATAGCAGAGTGACCTTTTTTTTTCTTCTTTCTTTTTCAAAAAGAAAAAAAGTATAATCACCTGTTAATGATTATTGTTCCTTTGTACATAGAGATTGATGTACCAGCCAAAGTCCTGTGTGGCTGACGTCAATCACGTACTCATTTTTTGCTCATTGCTCTTTTTCTTTCTCTCATCATTCCGTGGAATCGACAGAAGGTAAAACATTTCTTTGGTTGTGGGAACTTGTATCGGTCGCTTTGTGTATTTTTTTTAGCTGTGTTCTTTTCAATTCTCGTGCCAGTGATTCAACAAACGTTACTCTTTAGTGAATTGTCTTGTCAGTTGACTCACTCCGTTCAGTCTTTTGACTTTATTTAAAGTAACTTTTGATTTCCTGTGAAATAACCCCTGACTAGTTGCTTCTGTTTGTGACAATACTGAACTATCTTGAGGCATTTTGAAGATCCCAGATACATGATGGTCGTTTATACAGTACACACTGATGACTACTGCTTTGTGGGGGAACTCCTCCACCTCTTAACCCTATCCGTACGCCCTGGGGTCATTTTATACCCCCGGGGTTGTATTCTTCACATTTGAGAATACTTCTAGTGCAAAGATCTCTTTGAAACTTTCAGTTTTTCTCAAAAAGTCATTTTTGACAGACTGCTCTGCAAAGCATACGGATCAGATTAACGAGTGACTTTCCTCTTTGGAAAGTGGTGGCACAGAGTTCCCCACGTCGTATGGATACGATAGTAAAACACGACGTAGGGATAGGGTTAAGTGGTGGCACAGAGTTCCCCACGTCGTATGGATACGATAGTGTAACACGACGTATGGATAGGGTTCAATAACCTAAAAGGTATTGATAGGGGAGTTAAACCTGTACCGTTTTTCCCTCCTCCACTCGGGCAGGGAAGACAAATCTTGCAGGGTTGTTACCACTACTTGGTATAATTTTGATTCGTTTGTCCACAACCATATTCTCCAGTCTAAACATACCTCAGTTTTGTTCCTTCACATATTTATTTATACTGTTTTGTTCATTTAGAAGTTGGCATTCAATCTGTCTATTTTTCCTCTCTACGCACAAACAGTCCATGCACTTTAGGTTCAAAATCAAATTTGGTAATCCCTTTGTCTAATTGCTAGCTTGTTGTCAGTGATCTTTACAAAAACAAAGTAAAAGTATTCATGTTATGTATGTTGCAGAATTTACCTTTATTAGCAAAAATGTTCAATGTTTAACTTTGTCAGTTTACAATAGCCGCTGTTCAATATTGGAAGATAGAATGTGTACAGGTACAGAATTACGAGTCAATTTGTAATATTTCTCATTCTTGTTTCCTTTCATTTTTTAAAGAATGAATAAATGGTTATTTGAGCTGCTATTTTGAACAAACTGTTGACAATTTCTGTTGTCCAGACGTCATGGACACACAGAGAAGCTTTTGGTTGAAATATTTTATATCTTTTTGTTTCTTTACTTGTTTCTATCTGTGTGGAAGACTTTGACTGATGACTCTTTTTCTCCCTTCCACATTCCCCTTGTTGATATTGAAAAAAACTGAACAGAAGGTAAACTATTGACCTCTACGTTCCTGGTGGTTTTGGTCCTGTTGCTTCTTTGGGTTTTTTTAGCTTTTTTAAAATCTGTTTACCCTGGCTGGCCGTACTTCTGCTCTATTACCTTCCCCCCCCGTGGGCCTGTGTAGATGTGTGACCTACTTAGTGCTTTCCTCGTCGTGTGGTGCAGTCTGTACGGCGTGGTGCAGTCTGTACCATGTGTGTTTGTGTTTGGCCTCAGGGCCTCAGCTCAAACTAACCATGGCTATTTTTTCTCACGTTAATCAAATGGGATCTCCAGGCTGGGGTTTTATTGGGTACAGTCATCTGTGTGAGTTACGCACATTAAAGATCCCTTGGTGGTCTAAAATTAAATTGATAAGAGTAGGCTTCGGCCAACCCCCTCCTCGGCAAAATTAAAAATTTCTTATCATGCCAACTGAAAATGTTTAATTGTGTCAGATGCACTCATATGACCTTACCTTGTGCAGTTGCGAGCGCCGTAAAACACTTATATCTTTGTGACCAAATGTCTCATGTCTGGACTGGCGCCGGGTGGGGGGGGTTTTGGAGGGGGGGGGTCAATGGATTTATACGTTTATATTCATTTTCCACATTTTTTTAGTGTGTGGGTTGGGTAGTGGGGGAAGTTGTTCTTGCTCCATGGAAGTGCTCAGCTGTCTACCTGTCCAGAATATTCCTGTAATGTACCATTATAAGGCGTCTTTTTTTTTCTTATAGTTTTTTCCCTTGTAGCATCTTTGTGCTAGTTTTTTCTAACCTCTATCAAAAAAATACTAACTTTTATTTTGGTGTAAGTTTTTAAATGTGTGGCAAATATTTCTCAAAGGCTTCCTTTCATATCTTGTAGTGTATATTTCCTCACCTGTGCTTCCTTCATACGAGATATCGGCTGTAGTGGTATGCTGGGGAGTACAGGCTGTGGCCTATAGCGCAGTCGCTCACCCTGGCCGCTTGCTTTAGCGAGATGACAGGGCAAGAATATGTGTCTGGACGTGGTGGAATCGGGCGCTCGTCAATTTTTGGGTATTTGGAGTTATTGGTATTGCCTGAACGCTTGTTCATTTGTCTGTCTTGTGAGGAAAAAAAGATTCCTGTTTATCTTGAATAGAAGTGTTGATATTTGTAATTGAAGGAGGTGGGGTCGCCTGGGCTCAGAAGTAAAGTTAGGGAGAGAATGACCGCCAAAGTTTGGTGACTTCCATAGCTCAACGGTCCTTGGAAACTGTAATTTTCCATTTTTTTGTGCCATTAATCAAGGTTTTTCCATAAAATCCATACATGGGAATGTTTTTGAATGGACGTACAAAGTGTTAAGCCAAAAAAACAAAAATTTGAGAGAAAAAATCTAAACAAGCGAAAAATGCGGGTGTCTTTGATTTCCTTATTTGGACTCCCGCCTGATTTGACCACGATGCCTCACATATTGTGTTGTAAGATTGGAGGAAAATTGTGTTGGTTGCGGGCTGATCAGTGAAGTGTTTGTTTGTTTGGGAGGAGCTGGGATGGGCTTAGCCTTAGCTTTGGACATGACCTCTTTGCTCGTGGTTTTTGTCATTTCTCTTACGCTTGTGTATTCTCATATAGCAAAGGACATTCCATGTTTTTGTTGGGGTTTTTTCCCCTTTATGATGCTTTAATAACCGGCCACTTTTGTACACTCCTCATGTCTACGGTCAATATATACATAATATACAAGTGTTATTGTACTAAGTTTTGTGTGTTTTCTTATAGCCCAGCTTGATATTTTACAAATGGTTTGGGGTGTTTGTTTTTTGCTTGAAGTCACTTCTTTTGCAATTTTACCTGCTATGATTTTTTTTTTTTTTTTTTTTAATCTTTTAGCCCTCTCCTTTTTTGAAAAGCTGAAATATGTAGTGTTAGTTTTTAGAGAAGTGTAGTAGATGTAGTGGTGGTCTAGTGTTAGAGAGATGAGATGGTGGTCAAGTATGGCCAAGTTGTCCTGGTTTCTGGGACTTTGTTGGCTAGATCAGGGCCCGGGTCCTCCCATGTCCATAAGCAGCGTCCGTGGTCTAGTTGTTTGGCTCTTCACCGAGGGTTGAATTCAAGCAGTCCTTGAAAACTGTTTTAATTTGCATTCAAGGAAAAAATCTCCCTGGAAACCCCTTGAATTTCCGGAACCTCCTTGAGAACTCTTTGAATTTTGCCGGATCGGATATGAACAAAATTTTTGTCCGGAAATGGAAACTACAATTCCTTTGGGTCAAGTGTAGGCCTATCGGAAATGGGCTTTCAGCTTAAATTTCTTTACCTAATGTCCTTGAATTTAAAAAATGTTCCCTTGAAATTTCCTTGAATTTGAGTTAATATAACTACCATTTTACGTTTATTTTCTATTCATAGAGGATCTAACTTGTGTTGGGGATTGCGGGTGGTTTGAGGGTGCCACTGTTCCCTGTAAACTATTTGTTATCCCCCCTTCCCCTTCCCCTTGTTGTTTCTGCCCCACCCTTTCCCTTTGTGCCCCCCTAAATGACCGCTACCATGCTTCTGTGCTGACTGAACTGCCATCTTTTTCTACGTGGTTCTTCTCAAGGGATTTTCTGACTCTTGTTACTACAACTAACAATTCATGAATAATACAAATTACATTCAAGAATAATACAAATTACAAATATTTTCTCATGAAAACGTTTTTTCCCCACAAGTAACCAAATGATCCACTTGTTTCTTTAACTGGGGAGACTGAAAGCTGACTTCACTTAGTTGAGAGTTGAGAACAAAGAGATTCCTTTCCACATAGTGGTCTATATAGATATATAGATATATATAGATAGATATCTGTCTTGGCCTTTTGTTAGTTAGCAGCACATGTGCTAAGGTTAGCAATACCACCAAGTATTTCACTTTTCCTTTTTCATAATAATAAAAAGCATTTGTATAGCGCATACCCCAGCTCAACAGCAAGCTCTATGCGCTGTACACTATATCATTACCCCAGCAGACTAGACCAAAGAACACTCCGGAACATTCAAGTGACAGGATTTTTGTGACTGTCAAAGTTGATAAAAGAGAAGAGACAGAGGGTTGTGGTGAATGAACGTCCATCAGCACCTGTGAGGGAGGCAACACTTGAGTTGTCCCGGAATGTGTAGAAATACTCTTGCTATATATAGGGCCTCTTGTTGCTGTGAGCAGCGCTGCTGCAAGTGGCAATGCTGGGTGTTTGTGGCAAAGCAGGCACAAGTTAGCTTAACATACAAGAGGTTTTTTTTCTATTTGCTTTGTGATCAATGCCCACTCTGTGAAAAACTTTCACAACTATGTGTCTTTTATTTCACAACTATGTGTCTTTTATTTCACAACTATGTGTCTTTTATTTCACAACTATGTGTCTTTTAAGGAAAGGGCTGACGGTTAAATACCGTAAAGACCATTGAAGTTTTAGAATAGCGCCGAGGTTTTACATTGTTGCTCAGAAGATTTACTGGCTGGTACAAAGATGACAGGGGCACGTGTTTGAGGAAATGTATGGTCAGTGGAGAGCAGGAAAGTTGATGAAGGAACCAGTGTACAAAGATGATAGGGGCACATAGTCATGGGAAATTGAATGTATTTAAGTACACATATTTGAGGAAATGTATGGTCAGTAGACAAGAGAGAAGTTTTTGAAGGAACCAGTCTGTTGTATCAGATGTCCCTGTGTGGAGCTGTGTGTGCATGCATGTAGGGTGTTGTGGCTCTGTGTATGCTGCCTGTGCTGTAGCAGAGAGACCCCCTCCCTCCCTCCCTCCCTCCCTCCCGTCTTGCTATATTCGTTGTTGTTTTCTCCTCTTTTTGGACATACAGGGAACCAACACAGTGATAGCGAAGCCAGCTATAGTGAGTATTTCTAGCTCATCTCACACTCATTTACACATAGTTGTACCTTTATATATATTTTTATATATATACATAATGAATACTTATTTATTTATTTATTTACATACACCTGAAGAGCACAGGGGAAAAACAACGGTAGTCACAAACTGAATATCGTGAGGGAACCAATTTTGAACGCTTGTTGACTCATAACTGTATTTCTGTTCAGCTGTTGGTTGATTGTTGTTGTTAGATTTCCCGTTCAACTACACTTATCAATAAACCACCAGTCAAACAAATATGAAGTTATGAGTCCACAAGCTTTTAGAAATTGGCACCCTCACAGTTTCCAGTTTGTGGCTACCATCGTTTTCCCCCTGTGCCCTTCACACGTTACTTTATGCAGTGGTAAAGTTAATCGTGTTGAAGTAAAGAGCAGAAGATATATGAGCACTTGTGTGCCTCTACTGTGAACATGAGGATAAGTGACCCAGAAAAAGGTTTCAGTTTGTGCAGTTGTTTAGGTGTCTCCGAGGGTAGCCTTGTCCTACTGTAGTAGTCTCGTGGAATCTTCACACCTTTCCCTCTGTCTGTGGGCGTAACTAGTTTTTGTCTCGCTTCTCGAGACTGTAAAGAATTTAACGGCAAGTGGTTAGTTTGGAGGGCACCTGGTAGGTTCTATTGCTTCTTACAAGTTGTAGAGTATTTACACACACGTACACACATGACACACACGTACACACACACGTACACTCACACACACATGTACACTCACACACTCACACACATACAAACAGACACCTTTAGTCTCCCCAATTGTTGCCTGTTGTTTATTGGATAACTAACAGTTTTTCTAATGTTCTAATTCCTCTTGATGGTAGACAGAGTCTGTTGTTTTTTTGTTGTTGTTGACTTTTCAGTTATGATGTTAGCCTTACTTGTGTGTGTGTGGACAATGTTCTGGCATTTTGCTGTCTGGCCTCCCCCTCCCCTCCTGCCCCCCTTGCATGTTGACGGGCCGTTTGTGTGTCTCAGCTGTGTGTACTGTCAGTGTGTTCCCTCCCCTCCTGCTCCTTGCATGTTGATGGGCCGTGTTTGTGTGTGTGTGTGTGTATCTCAGCTGTGTGTGTGTATGCGTTGCGTGTGCGTGTCGCCAGCTATGTGTACTGTGAGTGTGCTTCTGTAGTTGTGACTGGAATGATAGTCTTGAATTAGAGTGCAATTATGTTGTTATGAGAGGGGAAGGGGTCGTGGGGGTGGGGGTGTATGTTACACTGTACCTATGCCATCTGTCTGCAGTAGTTTCATCTGAGAGAGACATTGAAACATCAACACAATGCAGTAGTTTCAACTGAGAGAGACATTGAAACATCAACACAATGCAGTAGTTTCATCTGAGAGAGACATTGAAACATCAACACAATGCAGTAGTTTCATCTGAGAGAGACATTGAAACATCAACACAATGCAGTAGTTTCATCTGAGAGAGACATTGAAACATCAACACAATGCATGTTTTGGGGTTTTTTGTTGGGATTGTTGTTGTTTTCCCCTGGGGGGGCAAAAACTTATGTGTGAATTCATTACTTCCTATTACGAAGTTGTAAATGGGGTTCTTTCCATCACCAATTTTGAACTGTTGTGGGGTGGGTCGGAGTGGTACATACAAATTGTTATAAAATATCTTGAGCTTACAACAGTCTCATCACAGATGAAAGTTGAAGTGCAGATCTTGAAATATGTCCGGAAAGTTTGAGACAGTGGTTATTTTTAACTGTGGTTGGAGGGGGGGGGGGGTATGTTGGTCTGTGGCGTAGTGTGAGCAAGCTGACCTGTCTGTCTGTTGGTCTCTGCCATAGTGTGAGCAAGCTGACCTGTCTGTCTGTTGGTCTGTGCCATAGTGTGAGCAAGCTGACCTGTCTGTCTGTACGTGAGTGGCAGCTAATGCTGTGATTGTCATTTGTTTTGGTGGGGTATTTCGTTGTCTCTGAGGGTTTGTGTTTCTTGTCTCAACTCAACCATTTGTTTGGGTGGTTTGGGGATGTTCTGGTGTGGTTTCCTCTTTCTTTCTTATCAACCAACATCTATGGTCCTTCTCCTCCTTTTATTCCTATAAAGCTCTCTAGTGACACCTCTAATCTTCAGCACTTGTGTGACGTGTTTGTGTTGCAAGTTCAGTCAAACTCATTTTTTGAACTGCACCCAAATGACTATACGTGTGGTGTAATAAAAAACCTGTCCCATGTTGCTCTTCAGGAGGAGATGAACCAATCTTGTCGTACGAGACCGTGGTGCAGCAGGAGTGTGAGTACCCACTGTCATGTCTGTCTGTCTGTCTCTGTCTGACGTGTGTAACAAAGTGTTTGTGGTGTTGTACAGCAGGAGTGTGAGTACCCACTGTCATGTCTGTCTGTCAGTCTGTGTGTCTGTCTGTGTGTTTGTGGTGTGTCAGGAAAAACCAAAGAATGTGTTGTTAGATTGGGGGGGGGGGGGGGGGATAAATCTGTATGTGCATTGTATGTGTCTTTTTCTCAAGTGTACTCAAATACTGAACACAATGTGGGTTGTTGGCGGGTGCTCTGGTATAGTTTGCTCCTTCTTTCCTACCAAATATCTTTCATCCTGATCTCTCCTTCTTTTTTTGTGTTTGTTACTCTCTTGTAACACCTCTAATATTCGGCACGTATATGACCTTATTGTGTTGCAAGTGCCGTTAAACTTTGACTGAAACTAAAACTCTAATCTTCAGCACTTGTATGACTTTATTGTTTTGCAAATACGGTAAAACTTTTACTTCATTATTTATCAACTAAAAGTGAGGCCGACACTTGACTGTGTGGTTTGCTGTGATGTGTTTCAGTGAAGTACACGAGGCCAGTCATCATCCTGGGCCCGCAGAAAGACAGAATCAACGATGACCTCATTTCAGAATTCCCGGATAAATTTGGCAGCTGTGTTCCCCGTAAGTGGTCTCCTTGTCCTCTCCCTGCATGCAGATTTTGTCACAGCTCGTCCACTTTGGCCTCTTTGCTCATGGGGTAGAGATTGAAGTGGGTGGTTGGTGGGTGCTCTGGTGTGGTTGGCTGATTCTTTCCTGTCAAACATCTATCATCTTTGGCTCTCCTCCTTCTTTTTTGTATTTGTTACTCTCTTGTAACACCTCTAATCTTCAACCCTGGTGTTGGTTTTTGGCCAATGTCTCCATTTGCGGATTGCGAAAAGTAACTTTTTTTGTCAGTACACCTCACAAATGTGTCTATGTTTCTAAACGGTTGTGACTGTGAGTTGGTGGGTGGTTGGCGGGTGCTCTGACGTGGTTTGCTCCTTCTTTCTTATCAAACATCTATCGCCCTTATCTCCCCCTCCTCCTATTTTGTGTTTGTTACTCTCTTGTAACACATCTATTTTTCGGCACTTATATGACCTTATTGTGTTGCAAGTGCCGTAAAACTCTTACTAAAACTTCTCCAGATGACCCCCGTGTCCTGGACCCCCCCAACAAGCCACTGTCGGCTGCTAGCTTCTCTCGTAAATTCTGGATGTTTCTTTTTTGGATGGTTTTTGTTTCTTGAGATTATTTTGGACAGTTATTTTAACTGTTTCATTTCCAGCTTGTGTGAACGTTCCGTTTGTTTTGTTCTCTTCTGTGGTCATGTGGTGGCAGGTTGTAGATGTTGTTGGTGTCTCACTCGAACCGTTTATCTGTCATAGTAGGTCAGACTTCTTTTTATTTCAATCTTGTGTTGGTAACCGTAATTACAATTATAATATGTGATACTATGGTATGGGAAAAGATCACTGTACACAAGATTTGGGGCAATTCTGGTATGTTTTATTAGGAAAAAAATGTTATGGGGTTTGGGTTTTTTTTTCACTTTTCTGAAAATCAGTGTTCATGCACCTACACGGTTAGAGTGACACACCGACGTATGGTTTTGGTAAATTGTGGTAGACACATAAAGGTGGGACACAACAGTGTCAGTTCTGTAGTTCTAAGAAGCCAAGTTGTTGTCGTTCTTTTTTAATTTGAAGGGGCAAAGAAGTTTACTCACAACAGTGTTTTAGTGATGTCTTATTCAAATACTCACTATTTACTTTGTTTTAGTAAAGTGCAGTCCAAAAGTATGGGTTTTTTTTTTTTTATTCTAGCGCCCTCCCCCATCCTTTTTTTTTTATGTGTCTTTACTCAGTTGTGAAATAAATGCTTTGAAACACAAAGTCAGTTGTGGAAATGTGCTGGATTTTTTCTGGTTTGATGAACTGTTGTTTGTTTTATGGTGTCCTTCCTTAGACCCGTTTTTAGATTTGAGTTGATCGGGTCGTGGGTGGTGTTGAATTTGTTACGGTAAGATGATAAGATGATTTGTTTCATTTCTAATCTATGACCTAATTTTGGTGCAAATGCCGTAAAACTTTTACAAAATGATAAATCATGGGACATCCGCTTGCCATCCTTTACTAAAAATAGACTGAGTTATCCTCTAGTTGTAGTTGAGACCCGTTGTCTTGGAGGGCTTGACGTGGGTGGGTGGCGGATGCTCTGGTGGGGTTTGCTCTTTCTTTCCTATCAAGCATCTGTCGTCCTTATTTCTCTTCCTCCTTTTTTGTGTGTTATTCTCTTGTAACATTTCTATTCTTTGGCTCTTATATGACCTTATTGTGTTGCAAGTGCCTCAAAATTCTTACGAAAATTATTTTTAAAAAACCTAGATGTTTTGATCACTCTCCCTGTGTTTGACCCCCTGTGGTGTTTTTCCCTCTGACCCCTGCGACCCCTGCGAGCAGACACGACCCGTGAGCGACGCGACCACGAGGTGGATGCCCGGGACTACCACTTCGTCATGTCCAGGGAGCAGATGGAGCGGGACATCCAGAACCATCTGTTCATCGAGGCGGGCGTCTACAACGACAACCTGTACGGCACTAGTGTCGCCTCCGTCAAAGAAGTCGCAGAGCAGGTACGTGCGTCGGTCGTCGCTTGTGGTGGGGGTCGTTGTGGCATATGGCTCAAAGGCTAGTGATGGGGGTCGTTGTGGCAGATGGCTCAAAGGCTAGTGATGGGGGTCGTTGTGTCAGATGGCTCAAAGGCTAGTGATGGGGGTCATTGTGGCAGATGGCTCAAAGGCTTGTCTGGTGGTGGTGGTGGTTGTTGTTGTTGTTGTCGATCTAGCAACATCTGGGTTCTCGCCCTTCTGTCCAATGAGGGTGATTGATGGGAGCTCTGGTGTGGTTTGCTTCTTCTTTCCTGTCAAACATCTATCGTCCTTATCTCTCCTGCTTTTTTGTGTATGTTACTCTCTTGTAACACTTCGTGGATGGTTGGCGGGTGCTCTCGTGTGGTTTGCTTCTTTTTTCCTATCAAACATCTATCGTCCTTATCTCCCCTCTTTCTTTTTTATGTTACTCTCTTGTAACACCTCTAATCTTCTGGCGCTCATATGACCTTATGCAGTTGCGAGCGCCGTAAAACGTCTACTAAAACAATTGTAACACTTTTATTCTTCGGCACTTATATGACCTTATTATGTTGCAAGTGCCATAAAACGCTTACGAAAAAAGAAAAAAAAAAGTATATTTTCAGCATTGCTATACTTTGTGTTCTGCAGGGGAAACATTGTATTTTGGACGTGAGTGGGAACGCCATCAAACGTCTACAGGTGGCCGGACTCTACCCCATTGCTGTGTTTATCAAACCCAAGTCTGCAGAGTCCATCATGTAAGTTGGTTAGCAGGGTCAGTTATGTAAGTGTGATTGTGTAGTAGTCATTTGAGGAAGTGCTTGTTTAGTAGAGTCAATTATGGAAGTTATTTAGCAGGGTTACTTACGTAAGTGATTGTGTAGTAGTCATTTAAGGAAGTGCTTGTTTAGTAGAGTCAATTATGGAAGTTATTTAGCAGGGTTACTTACGTAAGTGATTGTGTAGTAGTCATTTAAGGAAGTGCTTGTTTAGTAGAGTCAATTATGGAAGTTATTTAGCAGGGTTACTTACGTAAGTGATTGTGTAGTAGTCATTTAAGGAAGTGCTTGTTTAGTAGAGTCAATTATGGAAGTTATTTAGCAGGGTTACTTACGTAAGTGATTGTGTAGTAGTCATTTAAGGAAGTGCTTGTTTAGTAGAGTCAATTATGGAAGTTATTTAGCAGGGTTACTTACGTAAGTGATTGTGTAGCCGATTGTTGGAAGTTGTTTTGCTGTGTTGGAATAGGGTGTGATTCTCTCGTTTTTATCTTTCCGTTTCCTCGCAAAATTCTAGACTTGATTGGGGCCGAGGTCTGTGTAGGATCCTGAAATCCTTTTTTTTTTTTTTTTTTTCCCCCTACTAGATCCTGATGTTTAGATTTCACTGAGCAGCAGGTCTGATAGAAAGATGATGTTGGTATTTTGTGTTGAGCTAACTCAGGTCAGAGATGCCAGGAAAAGGTTTCATGAGAAGGATCTATTTGTCCTTCCTGTCTGGTGGTGGGTGGTGGAAGATTGTTGTAGTATGTGCAAACTCACCCACTAGCTGTTCCAACTACTCACTACCTCAGATGTACAATGTTCTGTCTGAGTCTTTTGGCCGTTGTGAGTTATTAAGACCATGAAGTCAGATACCAAATGTTCTGTGTACTCTATCAAAATGGGAAGATTATTCGGAGTCGTTATCTAGATATTCAAAGAATTGCATTTTAAAAAGCTTGACATACTGTGCGACTTAAAATCTTTGACGTGAAATTTCTCCCAACTAGGTAGCGGGTACTGAGGGGACAGGACTGTGTGGTTCTGAGGTAGAATCTCTTTTGGATATGGTGCTGTTTTAACAATACTTGGTTTTTTCTCTAGGGAAATTGTTACAATTTCAACAATGGTTTTTCTCTCTCTCTCCAGGGAAATGAACAAAAGAATAACAGAAGAACAAGCACGGAAAACGTTTGAGCGGGCCCTCAAGCTGGAGGCGGAGTTTGGCGAGTACTTCACAGCCGTGGTGCAGGGAGACACGGCCGACGAGATCTATGCTAAAATCAAGGAGGTGATCAGCGACCAGTCGGGGCCCTACATCTGGGTGCCAGCCAAGGACAAGCTATGAGAGAGAGAGAGTTGCTGCCCTTACCGTCGTCATCGCCAGTTCCACACCCACATCGTTTGTCATCGTCATCAGGATCATCATCATTGTCATCGTCATTTCGTCATATTGTCATCATCATCCGTTTGTCCATAGTGCTCAGCTCATCTTTCATTTGCTCTCTTATCTTGCAACATCTTTGTCTTTTCTTTTTCTCAATCTCTCTCTCTCTCTCTCCGTCTCTCTCTTTCTCTTATTTAATTTAGTTCTCTCCAGATCCACCCACAATGTGTATCACTAGACACGTGTTCATTGTTTATAAGATCATTGTCAGGTCGTTCATTTCTCTCTCTCGGTCGACACGACCGTGATTTCTCTGCCGTCTGTCGGCTTAGGTCACTGTTTCAATTCATAGAAAGTTGCAACTTATTGGGTCAAACGCCTTCATGATGTCACTTTTGATCTCTCTCTCTTTCTCATGTGCACTCTTTTTGTCTTTTTCTTCTTTTTTTGTTTGGTTTTGCTCCCCCTCCTCTCTCTGATTCTCTCTCTCTCTCTCTCTCTCTCTCTCTCTCTCTCTCTCTCTCTCTCTCTCTCTCTCTCTCTCTCTCCCCCTCTCTCTCTCTATCTCACACACACACACACAGACATCAGCTCATACCCCCCCCCCCCCCCCCCCTCCTCATACAAGCAAAAGTGATAGATCCTTGTGGACAATTTTCTCACCAAATGCTGCATCAAATTTCCTGGTTGGTATCTCTTGGTATAGGCCGCGGAAATATGTCCGTTGTCACTTGGCCGGTGAACGTTGAAGCGGCTGGTACAACTCTATCCAAGCCGGTGGTGGCTTCTATGTAGAAAGGAAAATGTCCCATCAGCCAACGTGTGAGAGCTGTCTGCCAGGGGCAGGGAGGGGGAACCCTGCCTGTCCCATCAACCAACGTGTGAGAGCTGTCTGCCAGGGGCGGGGAGGGGGAACCCTGCCCCACGGGGACTCTCTGATGGGATTTTGGCAGCCGCCGGTCGCTCTTGACAGTTTGGTTTGGGTGTTGAAAATCTTCCTGTCGTGCTGTGTACGGACATTCTGCTGGCTTTTAGGCTCGTCTTAAAGTTGTGCGGACGGAGATGTTCTCTGACTGAGGGCTGAGTCAAGTGTGTGAGGGGGGGGGTCCAGTCTTGTGCTTGTTTTGTGATGGACAGTCGCTGACTTGTGCATAGAGAGCCGGTGTGTGGGGGGGATTTTGCCATGTTGAGGGGGAGGGGGGGTATGTGCTACATACACAATTCCCCAGGATCGTAATCTGTGGTGGGACATGTGAGCTTACTGTGGGTGAGGTGAAGATCAAAACTCGTATGTTTTTGTTGTGTGCTGCGGGACACGTCCTGTGTATACAGGGTTCCTGTGGCCTCCTTGAGTTCATGGAGTCTTTGAAAACTCATTGAATTTGCATTCAAAGAAAAATCTCATTGAATATGAGGAACCTCCTTGAATTTCGCCGAATCAGACATGAACAAGTTTTGTCAGATTGCTCTTGGCCTGCCTTTGACTTTGAAAACGGCATGAATTTCTTGGCCAAATCTCCTTGAAATTTTAAAATTTCTCCTTGACACCTCCTTGAAATCTCTTTGAATGTGGTGGGGAGTTCTTGGCAGGAACCCTCTGTGTAGCTGCCCGTCACTTTGTCCCTGACCGTGGTGTGTGTGTGACCCGAGGGGCCTGATGGAAGGAAAAAAACAAATTTGTTTTTGTACCGTTTGCCTTTTGTTATTTTGTTCCCTCCTGTGTTCCGACTGGCCGGGTTCTGTGTGGTGGGTTTTATGGAGGCCTCGCGCGACTTGGGTCGGGTTTTATCCGGGGATGGTGAGCGTGTGTTCACGTTGGCTTTGTCCGGGGATGGTGAGCGTGTGTTCACATTGGCTTTATCCGGGGATGGTGAGCGTGTGTTCACGTTGGCTTTATCCGGGGATGGTGAGCGTGTGTTCACGTTGGCTTTATCCGGGGATGGTGAGCGTGTGTTCACGTTGGCTTTATC